GTTTTTAAAGCTTTAACATGTTACAAATTTTAGAAATGTGGGAAATTTTATAGATTATGTAAATTTAAAAACTCTAAATATTTTATAATTCCTAAAGATCTTGGGGAATTCAGACATTATATCAGATAGGAGTATTTCATAATTTTTCAAGAAATTTGAAAAATACAATAATGTCAAAAAATTCAAAAATTCTAGAATTTTATAGAACGAGGGATCACATAATACTGGAGATTTTGGAATCTATAAAGATTTTGGAGTGTAAAAATTTTAGAAAGTTTTGAGCTTTTCAAGATTTCACAGTTTCTAGAAGACGTGAAGGTCCTAGAAATCCTAAAATTTTTGAGATCATTGTGATCCCAAAATTTTAACGAGCATTCTAAATAGTTCAGAGATTTGGTAAATTCAAGACAATTCATAAATTTCTGCTTCTTAACGGGTTTTAGATAATCTGGTCATCTCGGGAAGTTCTAAAAATTTCAGAAATTGTTAAGTTTTAGCAATTTGAAGAAAATTTAAAGATCTTATAAATTATAAGAATTTCACGTATTCTATGGCTTCTATAAATTTTATAGTTTAAGGAAATGTGAGTAAATTGAAGATTTTAAAATTTTGGATCACTTCAGAAAATCAATAGAATCCAAAGGTTTACAAACATTTTAAGATAATTTTATAAACTATAGAGAGTTTATTGATTGATTGATAGAAATGTAGAGAATATTGTAATTATAGAAACTTTAGCGTGCTTAGGGATTTTGGGATTCTAAAAATTCTAAAGATTTTAGGACCTATAAATTGTTTTAACACTTAGGAAATTTCATAAGTTTTTGACAGTTTTGCAATTTTAGACGTTTAGAAAATTTACAATTTTTGAGTGGTTGTAAAGGTTCTAGAGGTTTCAGGAACTATTGAATTCTAGAAATTCTCACCACTCTAGAATTCTACAACTTCTAGAGGTTTTACACGTCATAGATTTAAAATGTTTGGGTAAATTTTGTAGATTGTGTCAATTTTAGAAAATTTTGTACTTAAAACAGTTTTAAAAATTTTTCCGATTTAGAAAATTGTAAAGGTTCTCGAGATTTTATAAAACATTAAATTATAGAGATTCTGATCATTCTAGAAGCTTTAACATGTTATGAATTTTAGAAATGTGGGAAATTTTATAGATTGTGTAAATTTAAAAACTCTTAATATTTTATAAATCCTAGAGATTTTGGGGAATTCAGATATTAAATCAGATATTTCATAATTTTTAAAAAAATTTGAAAAATACAGCCAGGTCAGGAAATTCAAACATTCTAGAATTTTGTAGATTGAAGGATCACATTGGAGATTTTAGTATTTATAACGGTTTCAAAGTGTAAAAACTTTCGAAATTTTTGATTTCACAGGATCTAAAAGATTCTAATAATTTTAAAATTTTTGAGATCATTATGATTCTAAAATTTTAACGAGCACTGTAAATAGTTCAGAGATTTCATCAATTTTTTTCAGATAATCTGGTCCTTCTAAGAATTTCAAAAATGTTTAAGTTTTAGAAATATGGAATTTGAAGAAAATTTAAAGATTGTATGATTTTAAGAATTTTACCTATTCCATGGCTCCTACAAACTTGATAAATTAAAGAAATTTGAGTAAATTAGGGATTTTAGAATTTTTAAATCACTTCAGAAAATGCGTCGGTTCTAAAGATTCACAAAAATTTTAAGATAATTTTATAAACCATAGATATTTTTTTTGATTCCATGAATGTAAAGGATGTTAGTGATTCTGTGATTCTGGGGTCTGCAAATTCAAACACCTTTAATTTTTTTTAATTTAGAAAATTTCATATATTTTGACAATTATTTTGCAATTTCGGACGTGTCGAAAATCTATCATTTTTAGGTAGTTATAAGGGCTATGAAAATTTTAGAAAATATTGAGTTTTAGGGATGCTGATCATTCTAGAATATGCAGCTTGCGAAGATATTACATGTCACAGATTTTAGAAATTTGAATATTGACTTTTTAGGGAATTCAGAATTTATACATTTAGACATTTATAAATTCACATGTTCCTAGAACTTTACGGATTTCCGACATTTTGAAAAATTTCGGAGTTACAACATGTAAGAAATTTCAGAATACAAAGTTTTAAAGACTCAAAAATCAAGAAATTTCGGAGTTTCTAGAAATTTAAAAATAATGGAAATTATTCGAAATCTTCAATCAAAGATGGAAGGATTTTCGAAATTTGAGGATTTGAGAAATCTTAGTTATTAAGCAATTTTTGCCTTATTAGGGGTTCCAAAAATTTTATATATTCAAAGGTTGAATATGTTTTGGTAAAATTAATGAATTCTAATACGACTCACGACCCGAAAAGTAGCCCTAATATGATTTCAAAATTGTTCAAAAAAGAGATGAATATCTTGGTATCTGAAAGAAAAATAAATCTGACCTGACTTTTTAGGTTTAATAAATATACATTTAATAAAAAAGCCTCATGTAGCAGTTGTACCAACTTCGAATCAAATTATCTAAAGAAATGTGCGAATAGAATAGAATAATAACCTCGTGCTACTTAATTTCCACTCAAACGTCAACCTTTTAGTCCCACCATACATCTCTTTCCTCCTCCCTGCTGAAAAATATAAATCTGGATCCCTCTAATTAGTATGCAACGCCGTACGTCTCACGGAAAATTCATCCAGCCCCATTCTGCCCTGAATATTGGAAATTTAATATTCGTGTTAAACCACCTTTCCTTCATTAAACATCCTGTGTTTAATTAAGCCTATTGCAACATATTTTTTACAACCCTACATTACCCAAACACGCGCAAAACCGCGTCACTACATCTTACCACCAACAAAAAAATCATCCACAAGCGTCTCCCTGAATTCGGGTTAAGTAATTACTTATTAGTATTCACCTACAAATGAGTAGTCTTCAAAGAGAATTATACAAACAGAGGAAGAGTGGCGAAGGAAGTCGAACGTAATGGATGAAACGTTATTAATATGCTAAAACCCCAATTTAAACCGAACCAGCCGCTTTATCTAAATTATGTTGTAAAGGTGGCGAACAGTGACAGGTCAGAATTAATTTCGGGGTTGCGATCTTTGCAATTCGCTCCATCAAGCCTCCAACATATTGAGGATTTTTTATCGGGCGGACGTCTTGTTTGGGACCGGCGGCCTATTTGACTTGCAAAACTTTAATGCAATCTCAATTCTGTCAGATTAATCCGAATGGAGGTCAGATAAGTTGTATTCCGAACGAAAAGCTCTGCGATGCTATCGGGTTATTTCATTACGGAGTAATGATGCTTATCGGGATATTCAAATGTGAGTGCAGTGGTGTCTATTATTTTTCTTGCTTTCATGCCGACTCTGCAGTAATCTACGCAAGACACGACATCAAGGGAATTAAAACGGACTGACATATTCGCGAGACTAATTTTCTTACTCCTGATTAAATTGAGACCGGGGAAATTTTAAATTTTCTTGATTAAAAGTGGATTAGCAAGAGGAGCTGAATGCTATCAAAATTCGAGAAAAGGAGTAAATTGGGTTATTAAAAGCCGCCGGCTTTGACACTTTTACCGACGGAGGCAATCCGAGAATATGGCAGCGTAGCTGCTGATATTTTAAGGATTTTAGCAATGTTGTCGGTGAAAACTTCACTTGATCTCCACATTTATTAAAAAAAAACAACGCAAATAAAATCTCACCCAGTTAAAGCTGAACGTTGCAAATAAAGCAAGCCGAAGCCGGAAATTAAGTTTTAATATTTCATATTTGATTTTTTTTTTAAGTTAATTAAGATTAAATCCATAATGCTGGAGTACAAAAAAATTCAATTACAAAGGAACAAACAAGGACTTTAGAGATATTGTCTGACAAAAATGAGTTTAAGAGTGCAATAAACTAAAGTCGGGACTTGAAACACACGTATATTTGCTGGAGCTCGCGGAGCGAGCGACTCGTTCTAAATACAAGTGCTTTCATACTGAATTCAGTACAAATTTACCAAAATTAATAATAATCATAATACATACTAGGAAACACATATGAAATTTACCTACATTTGTCTGATAAGTGATTGCTTATTTTTGGATTATCGATTTATTTGTTTATGAGATGCTACGCAATCGTGACCTAGCAAACACTTGAAAATATATGAATATTTATTTGTGACGTAATACTATACGAAGCAGATTAAAACAAACTGAAATAATAATAGTACACAAAACAGAGCGGATGTCCTATATATTCAAAGCTTCATTTTACACTGATTATGATTTGCATAATATATTGGCACTGTCTTAAATTTTGGCGCGGACACCCATTTTGGCCTAAATTTCAACCACTTCGATGAGAAAATTTAAAAAAATCGAATCCTGAAACCCGGAAGTCGGAATCTCGTGCTGTTCCGAAGTTATGAGACATCAAACCTGAACTTTGCATTTTGACTATAGATTTAAGGAGAATTTCGACTAAAATGATTAAAATATCGCCAGAAATAGACTCCACGGTGTAAAATTAGTCTAGAAATTGAATTTCAGTTAAATAGGAAAATGTTTTCCCTTTTTTTTTTAAACATCGGAACTATTTTGGATTTACAGACTGAATATGAAGCTATCTTTTTTAAACGGGCCCCAATTCATGTGAAAATTGCTGTATGTACAAATTCGAGCTTTCTGAAAATTAATCTGGGGATTAAAAATATCTCCGGGTTGTCGAAATTTTTTATTTACTATATCCTAGCCATTTTGATTGTAATCCCGATTCATTTTCGAAAACTTAGATTTGATTTTATAGCTCTCTGAAATTTGGCTTCCTTACTTTGAACCACCTGAAAGAGAATCTGGGCACTAAAAATATCTCCGGACCGTTTTTATTATTTTTTTTTTTAATTTTTATTTATAACCACTCCCGAAAAATGCCACCGTTTTATTATTTGCTTCGTGGATTCCAAACAGACATTGTTTACCGCTTGAAAATCAACCTAAATCATTCAAATAATTCGAGGAATCGAACGGTAGACCCCGGAAATGTCCTTTTTCGCCCTTTTCCTAATTTCTCGTCCTTTTCGTCCTTTTTTGACCTTATCGACCTTTTCGTCCTTTTCCATCCTTTTTCGTCTTTCTCGTCCTGTCCGTCCTTTTTCGTCCTTTTTCGTCCTTTTCGTCCTTTTTGACCATTCCGTCTTTCTCGTCCTTTTTCGTCCTTTTCGACCTTTTCGCCCTTTTTAGGCCTTTTCGAACTTTTCGTCCTTTTTTCGTCCTTTTCGCCTATTTTGTCTTTTTTCTTTCTCTTCGTCTTTTTTCGTACTTCTTCGACCTTCTTCGTCCTTTTTCGTCCTTCTTCGTCCTTTTTGACCTTTCCGTCCTTTTTCGTCCTCTTTCGTCCATCTGCGTCATTTTCTTAATTTTTCGTCCTCTTTGCCCTTTTTCGTCCTGTTTGGTTCTTTTTCGTTCTTTTCGACCTTTTCGTCCTTTTTCGTCCTTCTTCGTCCTTTTCGACCTTTTCGTCTTTTTTCGTCCTCTTTCGTCCATCTGCGTCATTTTCTTAATTTTTCGTCCTTTTTCGTCCTCTTTCGTCCATCTGCGTCATTTTCTTAATTTTTCGTCCTCTTCGTCCTTTTTCGTCCTGTTTGGTCTTTTTTCGTTTTTTTCAACCTTTCCGTCCTTTTTCGTACTTCCCGTCGTTTTTCGTCCATTTTCATTCTTCTCGTCTTTTTCGTCCTTTTTAGTCCTTTTTCGTCCTAGTTGGTCCTTTTTCGTCCTTATCGAACTTTTCGTCCTTTTTCGACGTTTTCGTCCTTTTTCGTCCTTTTCGACTTTCTAATGCCATTCCGGAGTTATATATCAAACTTGTACTTTGCATTTTTTGGTCCTTTTCCTAATTTCTCGTCCTATCCGTCCTTTTTTGTCCATTTTCATCCTTTTTCGTTCTCTTTCGTCCTTTTTCGATCTTTTCGTCCTTTTTCGACCTTTCCCTCCTTTTTCATAAATTTCGTCCTTTTTCGTCCTTTTCGTCCTTGTTCATCCTTGTTCGTCCTTCTTTCGTCATTTTCGTGATTTTTTATCCTTTTCGTCCTTTTCGACCTTTTCGTCCTTTGTCGTCCTTTTCGTCCTTTTTCGTCCTTGTTCGTCCTGTTTGGTCCTTTTTCGTACTTTTCGATCTTTTCGTCCTTTTTACGTCCTTTTGGCCTTGTCGTCCTTTTTCTTTTTTTCGTTCTTGTTCGTCCTTTTTCGTCCTTTTCGACCTTTTCGTCCTTTTAGACCTTTCCATCCTTCTCGTCCTTTTTCGTCCTTTTCGAGCTTTTCGTCCTTCTTAGGTCTTTTCGACCTTTTTCATCCTTTTCGACCTTTTCGTCCTTTTATCGTCCTTTTCGTCCTTTTTCCTCCTTCTTCCACCTTCTTCGTCCTTTTTCGTCCTCTTCGCCCTTTTCGTCCTTTTTCTTTTTTCGGCATGTTTCGACCTTTTTCGTCCTTCTTCGACCTATTTCGTCGCCTTTCGTCCTTTTTCGTCCTTTTCGTCCTTGTTCGTCCTTTTCGACCTTTTCGTCCTTTTTAGGCCTTTTCGACCTTTGTCGTCCTTTTCGACCTTTTCTTCCTTTTTTCGTCCTTTTCGTCCTTTTTCGTCCTTCTTCGACCTCCTTCGTCCTTTTTCGTCCTTCTTCGTCCTTTTCGTCCTTGTTCGTCCTCTTTGGTAAATCTTCGTCATTATCCCAATTTTTCGTCCTTTTCGTCCCTTTTCGTCATTTTCGTAATTTTTTATCCTTTTCGTCCTTTTCGTCCTTTGTCGTCCTTTTCGTCCTTTTTCGTCCTTTTTCGTCCTGTTTGGTCCTTTTTCGTACTTTTCGATCTTTTCGTCCTTTTTACGTCCTTTTTGCCCTTTTCCTAATTTCTCGCCGTTTTCGTGGTTTTCGACCTTTTCGTCTTTTTTCGTCCTTTTCGTTCTATTTCGTCGTTTTCGTCATTTTTCGTCCTTTTCGGCTTTCTTATGCCATTTCAGAGTTATGGGACATCAAACTTGAACTTTGCATGGACTAAAGATTTAACGATAATTTCGACTAAAATAATTAAGATATTCAACAACTGGTGCCAGAAATAGACTCTGTGGTGCAAAATTAGTTCAGAAACTGAACTTCAGTTAAACAGGAAGAGGTTTGTTAGACCGATTTTTTTTTTTTTCGAAAAATCGTGAAATATTTTGGATTTGCAGAATATGAAACTATCTATTTTAAACGGGCCCCGATTCATGTGTAAATTGCTGTATGTACAGATTCGAGCTTTCTGAAAAAGAATCTGGGCACTAAAAATATTTACGGGTTGTCCCAAATTTTTTATGAATTTTTGATTCGTCACATGTTCCTCCAGCATTTTTATTATAAGCTTTAATTTTTAAACAATCAGATTTGATCTCATAACGGTCTGAAATTTGATTTCCTTACTAATTTGAGCGTTCTGAAGAGCAATCTGGGCATTGAAAATGTTTCTGAACTGACTTGAATTTTTTATTCATCAGCACTCACGAAAAATGACATGATTTCATATTTTAACCCTTGGATTACAAACGAACAACGATTTTGACTTAAAAATGAACTCAAATTATTAGAAAATTTCTAGCAATCGAGCGGTGAAAACCCGAAATCGGAATTTCCTGCCGTTCCGGAATTATGGAACATCAATTTTGTACTTTATATTTTGACTATAGATTTAAGAAGAATTTCGTCTGAAACTCCAAAATAATGAAAATTTTCAACAACTGACGCCAAAAACGTACTCCCCAATGCAATAAGTATTAGTACAGAAACTGAATTTCGGTTAGATGGTAAATTTTCTGAGTTTTTATGAATTTTTTGTTTGTCCTACGGCTCCTCCACCATTTTCACTGCATGCTTCGAATTTTGAAAAATCTGATTGAGCTCATAGCGATCTGAAATTTAGTTCCCGCACTAATTCGAGCTTCCTGTAAAAGAATCTGAGCAATACAAATGTCTCCGAACTGGCCTGATTTTTTTTTAATTTTTTATTCACCGACACTCTCGAAAGTAGACACGGTTTTATATTTTAACTTGTGAATTTCAAACGAACGGTGATTTCGTCCTCAAAGTGACCCCATATTATCATTAATCTTCAAAAAATCGAGCGGTGAAAACCGGAAACCGGAATCTTATGCCGTTCCGGAGTTACGTGACATCAATCTTGAGCTTTGCATTTTGACCATAAATTGAAGAGAAAAATTTCATTGAAAAATGAATCTGAATTCCGTCCGGTTTGAATTTTTTATGAATTTTTTATTCGTCGGCACTCCCGAAGTATTGCACGGTTTTATATTTTAACCCGTGGATTCCAAACGCACATCGATTTCGACTTGAAAATAAACTCAAATTATTAGAAAACTTCAAGGAAGGGAACAGTGGAAAATCATCTCTCCAAAAACTCGTATCATTTTCCCGAACCGTTAAATGAAATATGATAACGTTTACGATTTTTAAGAAATTGACTTTCAAACCAAATATTTCTAAAATCTTGCTACACACAATAAACACGCCATATTTCTCGAATCAGCACGTCGGGATCTATTTTTTGCAGATTTTTTACCAAAGCTCAATTTTTCAATGACATTGTCCCGAGTACCTCGAGGAAAATTTATTCCACGTAAAAAACACCGCTTAGCAACCAGCCGAACTCTCTTTCCGGGTAAAGATTTTCTATGTTTACTCCTTTGTTTCGCCATCACTCTCCACCCTCATTAGTCATCGTGCATTTTTCACGTCACCACGTCCCCGAAGAAATTACCACAACTCTAGCTAAACCTTCGCCTCCCCACTTTATTATGTCTATAAAACCGAACGGTCCGCGGCATCGGCCACCTGAAAATTGAAATAGCCCGTAAAAAATGTACTCTGAAAACTTTATTACGACTTTTATAATCCCACTTAAATCATTTGAGACCGTCGGGTGTCCTATTTACTTAAAGTAAAAGCTTATCGGCCCCGACCAATTCTACATCTTGGTCTAAATCCGCCCGAATTTTTGGATAGAATCCACTAGGAGCCGCCACGACAAAAATATTTTTATTTTTAACAGCTGAAGCGCGGTTCTATTTTGATGAGTGAGTTTCGGGCATAAATCAGATTAAACCAGCGTAAACAATGATAAATACGCGTCTATAAATAATGATCGACCACGAGCTTCTAAATTAATAAATTTAATAATAAGTCGAACGTTTTTAATCTTCGGTGCGGCGTAGAATAATTAAAAATAAAACACTTGGTATGGAAGTCGAGTCAGGAGAAGTTAGAATCGCAAATTCAGAGGATAGACCTGACAAACAATGCCCTGGAGGATTTCGCTAAGCTGAAAATGCATAGCATGATGAAAATCGCGAGATATAGCTCCAAAATTCGCGAAACGCATTTATCAAAGGATGGGTTTGGCAGCAGTTGGGTCTATTCTGGAGCATTGATGTAAATGTAAAAGTGCCGGCTGCATAATTAAGTAAGCTTAAAGGATAATAGCGCAGGACGAAAGAGGATTTGCCGGGTTGCATAGAAAAACAGGATGGTGTTGCAGTTCGTTATCAGCATATACGAACACAAATAAACTTAACCAGGCAAGAATACAAGTCCCGAGGGTGTGCTAAATAACCCAGGGTTTTCGGGGCGTCGTTTTTGAATTTTAGATTGAGTTACTTCGGTGGAATTTTTAAATTACGAAGTACGCATATTTATTAATCGGGTTTCGCTGTTATTGTGTGTATATCTTCCCCACTAGGCGAGATATTGCACTCAAAATAAAATCAGTACCCTCTCTAATATTTAAGTTATCATTCGAACCGACTCTTCTCCCACACAACTTTTTTAATTACTCTTAGAAGTGTAATCTGCATAATTTAATTTACTCGACTCCGGGAGCACCTCGGCTACAACCTGATTTCCTCCTCTTTCACAAAAACTCCACCTTAAACGAATGCAGCGCTCGCGGATAATTACAAAAAGTCTACAAATAGCAATAAAAAATTAATCACGCTTTAAAAACAAACAGGTCGGACGCTTTTAATTTCCACGTTATTTCTGAAATAAAAATCGCAACAATCAATTCAATTTGTTCGTAATTATTTCTGCCCGTTCTGGCGTAAGAAATTTTTCTTAGAGTGACCTGTCTCGACGCAATTACAAAAGTTGTATTTATCTGCAAACAATTCCGCCGTTTTTCGGAGAAAGAAGCCATTGTGTTACGGTTCAGCTTCCACTCGCAAATCCTTTAGAAGTGCTTCCGTGTCTCTGGCCATAAAAAGCTTTAATTTATTCACGCGTTACCGTCCAGACGTTCACCTGATGTGATTTCTTGCCTTTTCCACGTGTCAAAGGGAATCGAATCGGGGCAAAACCGGTAACGAGCTCCGGGAAATGATATCGCTTTCGAACGTCATATAATTTCACATTAAAAAAAAATATTATTGCGAAACGAATTTTCCAAATATATACAGATAAAATTATCTCGAAACGTGAAATTCGCCCGTTCTGACAATTCGCATCTGGAAAATAAGCGCTTTAATCCAGAAAAAATCTCCTTGTTCCTTGTTTTATCAGCTCCTGAGAATATCCCATTTAATGAAGAGGATTCGATTTGCGATAATATCAAGGGGCTTAAATGACCGAGATGCTAGCCAGATTACGTCCATGGGATCCTTCAGGATAAGTAAAAAGGGGATAAGACCGTGTCATAATTAATACTCCCGGAGAAGGAACCCGACAGCAAAAATCCGCACTTAATAAATAGAAATAATTCCCGAATTCCCCGCTAGAAATTAAGAAGAATAATAGTTTAATTAAAATAATAAATTCTCTCCAACGCTTGGAAAACTGTGTAATTCGAGATTTGGAGTAAACATCTGAGGAAATACACGCAACGAGTCTTTTTTTAATTTATAGAAACACTTGTACCTTTTGTTGTAAGCAAAGGCTCTTCCAATCTAAAAGGTCTGCAATAAATCGCAATTTAAGAAGGTGCAAACAGCTTTCGCAAGCTTCGTTTATTTTCGAACTGCTTTCGAGCTTGAGATGCGTCTGTTAAATTACACAATTTGAACGAGTGAATAATTAATCCGGGGAATTGAAAATCGATGCACTATAACGAGGCGCTTCGAACGGGATGTGTTTATAGAATTAATAGAATTCATTAGGTGCTATTAATATTTGGGGTTTATGTTGTCCCAGTACGATATACTCGATTATCTCTGGTTTGAGAGTGGATTTTGGGTGATGATGGAGACACCAGTTGAGCCTGGATGGCAGGAAAGAGTGAAAGTACGGAAGTTTCGCGAGGATCGGGAGATTAATGTCGGTTTATGCAGGAATTTAAGTACTTGTGAGTGAAGACACAGGACGATGAGGTAAAAATTGCAAGCGATAATAAACAAGTCAGGTCAGGTCAGGTCATTTAACATGATTTAAAATTTTAAATTTTCACATTTGAACCACTAATTTAAAATTGTTAGGCACGAATATATTTTCACAGCATTGTATTTCAATTAATTTTTTAGTGTATTTGTCGAGTAGAGGATACACGAATTACTCAACGTCAAGAACTTTAACAATCTTAGGAAGGAACTCCGGACTAAAATTTATGGAGGGAAGGAAGGAATATATTGTTAAGACCGACAAGTTTTATTGCAAGAGTTTTCTTCAATGATGACCGAATTTTACGAGCATTATAAATATACCACAATTCCCATGAATTTACACCTAATTCTGAAAATCAACATGACACTTCGAATATAGGAGTATTAATTTTCTTATTGGATATTCCAAAACTGTTTAAAATATTGTCCCTTTCTCGAAACTTTCTCCACTCTCCCCGCCCCCTCGCTCACTCTTTCTCTATTTGTCTTTCAATCTCTATTTCTTTCTTTCTATTTCCCTATCTTTCTCTCCCTATCTCTCTTTCTGTATTTCTATATTACTGTCTATATGTCTACTTTTTATCTGTCTTTCCGTCTGTCTTTCTATTTAGAATATTTTCTGACCTAATTTCTACCTACATCTAAAAATTTATTTTCTTTTTGCCTTTCTGTTTTTGCTTTTCCGCTTTTTTGCCTTTCTTTTTGTCTTCCTCTCTCTGTGTGTTTTTGTCTATCGTATTGGTTTGCCTAACTTTCTATCTAAAGGCTTTTACTTTTATACAAATTTTTGAGAACTAATTTCTATCATACATCATCTGCCTTTCTGACTTTCTGTCTCTGTCTTTCCGCCTTTCAGTTATTTCGCCCTTCAGTGTTTCAATCTGTAAGTCTTTCTGCCTTTGTGTCTTTTTATCTAGCCTCTGCCTTTCTGCCATTCTGTCCGTCTTTCTCTCTGTCTTCATATATCTCTTTCAATCTCCCTTTCTTTGTCACATTTGATTTTTATCTTTCTTTCTTTCTATCATTCTCTCCTGTTTTTTTTGCCTCCCTAATTGACGTTCCTCATATTTATAGAATGTTTTTTGGTTTTCTCTTTCTATGTCTTTATATCATTCCGTTTTTCTGTCTTTCTGTTTTACTGTCTTTTCGTCTTTCTGCCTTCCAATTCTTTAGTTTTTCAAGCTTCCAACTTCTCGGCTTGTCTATCATTCTGCCTTTCTGCTTTTCTGCCTCTCTGCTTTTCCGCTTTCTGCATTTCTTTCTGTCCTTCTGTCTCTGTGTCTTTTTATATGTCTTTGGTGTGTCTTTCTGTCTCCCTTGCTGTCTTTCTTTCTCTCTTCGAGTTTTTCTGCTTTTCTCCCTAATGTCTCTTGTTTTCATGCAAAATTTACAAAACATCGTATACCGAAAAATGTATGTCTTTCAACCTTTTAGTCTTTTTCTGGCTTTCTTCCAGTGTTTCAGTCTTTCAGTTTTTCATTCTGTTTGTCCCTCAGTCTTTCAATCTGTAAGTTTTTCTCTTTCTGGTCTTTCTGTCCTTTTGTTCTTTTGCCTTTCTGTCATTCTTTCTGTCTCTCATTTGGTTTGTCTTTCTATCATTGTCTTGTTCTTTCTGCCTCCCTACTTTAAGTCTCTCATAGTCACAAAGTGTTGTCAGAACTAATGTCTATCATGCATCTAAAAATATGAAAATACTTTTGTCCTTCGGTTCCTCTAGTCTTCTGTTCTTCAGTCCTTGAATTCTTCTATCTTTCTGTCCTTCAGCCTTTCAGCATTTCAGCCTTTCAGCCTTTCTGCCTTTCTGTCTCTTTATTTGTCGTGTTGTCTGTTTTTCCACCCCTCATTTTGTCTATCTCTGTTTCTTTTTTTCTTTCTGTTTTTCTACCTTTCAATCTAAAATCTCCTATACAATTTTTTCAGTACTCATTTCTACTATACATTAAAAAATTGATTCATTTTGTCTTTCTCACTTTTTACCTTTCTGCCTTTCTTTCCTTCTGTTCTTCTGTCTTTCTGTCCATATGTCCTTCTGATCTTCCATCCTTAAGTCCTTTTCTCCTTTTTTCTTCTTTCCTTCCATTTTTCAGCATTTTAATATTTCAGCCTTTCGCCTGTCTGACTTTCTGACCCTCTGCCTTCCTGACTTTCTGTTCTTCTGTTTTTCTGTTCATCCGTCCTTCTGACTTTCTGTCCTCCTGTACTTCTCCCCTTCTACCCGTCTGCCTTTCCATCCTTCTGTCCTTCAGCCTTTCAGTTTTTCAGCCTTTGTAGATTTCTGGCTTCCTCCCTTCCTGTCGTCCTTTTTGTCTTTCTGTTCTTCTGTCTTTTCGTCCATCTGCCCTTCTGTCGTTCTATTCTCCTGTCCTTGTACCCATCTGCCCTTTGTTTTTAAATTTTTCGACCTTTCTGGCTTTCCATCTTTCTACCCTGCTGCCTTTCTGTCTTTCTATCTCCTTGTCTTTTTGTCTTTCTGTCTTTCTATTCTTTTGTTTTTCTATGTCTCTGTTTTTCTGTCTTCTTGTCTTTCTGTTTTTCTGTATTCTTGGCTTCCTGTATTCCTATCTTCCTGCCTTCCTGTCTTCTTGTCTTTCTGTTTCTCCTTCTGTCTTTCTTCTTTCTGTCTTTCTGTTATTACGCCCTTCAGTCCCTTTGTCTTTTTGTCCTTTTGTACTTTGCCCTTTTGTCCTTTTGTCTTTTGGTCCTTTGCTCCCTTTATTCTTCTGTCTTTCCATCCCTTCGTTTTTTAGCGTTTCAGCATTCCAGCCTTTCTGGATTTCTTATTTTCGCCGTCCTGTCTTTCTATCCTACTGTCTATCTGCCATTCTGGAGTTCTATTCTTCTGTCCTTGTACCCATCTGCCCTTCTGCTTTTCAACCTTTCAAACTTTCTGTTTTTCTATCTCTGTTTTTCTGTTTTTCTCTCTTCTCGTCTTTCTGTTTTTCTGTACTCTTCTCTTCGGATCTTCCTATCTTCTTGTCTTCTTGTATTTCTGTCTCTCCTTCTCCTTTTTTGTCTTTCTTCTTTTTCTTTCTGTCTTTCTGTCCTTATATCTTTCAGTCCTTTTGTCTTTTTGTCCTTTTCTGCTTCTGTTCGTTCATCCTTTTGTCCATTGGTCCTTTGGTCCTTTTGTCCTTCTTTCTATCCCTCCGTTTTTTAGCGTTTCAGCTTTTCAGCCTTTCTCGATTTCTGGTTTTCTCTTTCCTGTCTTCCTGTCCTTCCGTTCATCTGCCCTTTCACCTTTCTGGCTTTCTATCTTTCTGCCATGCTGCCTTTCTGTCTTTCTAGATCCCTGTCTCTCTGTCCTTCTGTTTTTCTATCTTTATGTTTTTCTATTTTTCTGTCTTTTCGTATTTCTGTTTATCTGTACTCTTGTCTTCGTATCTTCCTATTTTCTTGTCTTTTTGTATTTCTGTCTCTCCTTCTCTCTTTTTGTCTTTCTTCTTTTTCTTTCTGTCTTTCTGTCCTTATATCTTTCAGTCCTTTTGTCTTTTTGTCCTTTTCTCTTTCTGTTTGTTTATCCTTTTGTCCATTGGTCCTTTTGTCCTTCTTTCTATCCCTTCGTTTTTTAGCGTTTCAGCATTTCAGCCTTTCTGGATTTCTTGTCTTCTCCTTCCTGTCTTCCTGTCCTTCTGTTCATCTGCCCTTTCAACTTTCTGGCTTTCTATCTTTTGGCCATGCTGCCTTCCTGTCTTTCTATATCCCTGTCTTTCTGTCTTCCTGTCTTTCTATTCTTTTGTCTTTCTATGTCTCTGTTTTTCTGTTTATCTGTCTTCTCGTCTTTCTGTTTTTCTGTATTCTTATCTTTCTGTATTTTTCTTTTTTCTTTCTGTCTTTCTGTCCATTTGTCCTTACGCCTTTCAGTACTTTTGTCTTTTTGTTCATTTGTACTTTGCCCTCTTGTCCTTTTGTCCGTTTATCATTTTTGTCCTTTGGTCTTTTGCTCCTTTTGTTCTTCTGTCTTTTTATTCCTCCGTTTCTCCGCGTTTCAGCATTTCAGCCTTTCTGGATTTCTTGTTTTCGCCTTCCGGTCTTTCTGTCTTTCTATCTCTCTGTCTTTCTGTCCTTCTGTCCATCTGCCCTTTCAACCTTTCTGGTTTTCTATCTTTCTGCCATGCTGCCTTTCTATCTTTCTATATCTCTGTCTTTCTGTCTTGCTGTCTTTCTGTCTTCCTGTCTTTCTATTCTTTTGTCTTTCTATGTCTCTGTTTTTCTGTTTATCTGTCTTCTCGTCTTTCTGTATTCTTATTTCCTGTATTCTTCTTTTTTCTTTCTGTCTTTCTGTCCTTTTGTCCTTACGCCTTTCAGTCCTTTTGTCTTTTTGTTCTTTTGTACTTTGCCCTCTTGTCCTTTTGTCCGTTTATCATTTTTGTCCTTTGGTCCTTTGCTCCTTTTGTTCTTCTGTCTTTTTATTCCTCCGTTTCTCCGCGTTTCAGCATTTCAGCCTTTCTGGATTTCTTGTTTTCGCCTTCCGGTCTTTCTGTCTTTCTATCTTTCTGTCCTTCTGTCCATCTCCCTTTCAACCTTTCTGGTTTTCTATCTTTCTGCCTTGCTGCCTTTCTGTCTTTCTATCTCCCTGTCTTCCTGTTCTTTTGTTTTTCTATCTCTCTGTTTTTCTGTTTTTCTGCCTTCTCGTTTTTCTGTTTTTCTGTATTTTTGTTTTCGTATCTTCCTATCTTCTTGTCTTCTTGTATTTCTGTCTCTCCTTCTGTCTTTTTATCTTTCTTCTTTTTCTTTCTGTCTTCCTGTCCTTACATCTTTCAGTCCTTTTGTCTTTTTGTCCTTTTCTACTTCTGTTCGTTTATACTTTTATCCATTGGTCCTTTGGTCCTTTTGTCCTTTTGTCTTTCTATCCGTCCGTCTTTGTCACTATCCTTCTATCCGTCTGTCCTTCTGTTCTTCATCCTTCAAGCTTTTCAATCTGTCGAGTATCCTAGCTTTTTTCCTCCCTTTCTCTTCTTCTGTTTTTCTGTCCTTCCGTCCTTTTAGCCTTTCAGTTTTCTGGTTTTCTGCCTTCCTGTCTTTCTTTCCGTCCGTCTGCATTTATGCTCTTCTACCCATCTGCCCTTCTATTCTTCTGTCCTTCAGCCTTTCAACTTTTCAGCCTTTCTATATTTCTGACTTCCTGCTTTCCTGTCTTTCTTTTTGTCTTTTTGTTCTTCTGTCCATCTGCGCTTATATACATATGTCCTACTGTTCTTCAACCTTTCAGCCTTTCTCGCTTTCTATTTTTCTGCGTTGCTGCCTTTCTGTCTTTCTATCATTCTGTCTTTCTGTCTTTCTGTTTTTCTGCTTTTCTGTCATCTTGTCTTTCTGTTTGTCTTTCTTTCTTGTCTTTGTGTCTTCCTATCTTCCTGCGTCTTTTTGTCTTCTTGTATTTCTGTTTCTTCTTCTGTCGTTTTGTACTTTGTCCTCTTGTCCGTTTGTTCGTTGATCCTTTTGTTCGTTGGTCCTTTGGTCCTTTTGTCCTTTTGTCTTTCTACCCTTCCGTTTTCAGCGTTTCAGCATTTCAGTCTTTCTGGATTTCTTGTTTTCGCCTTTCTGTCTTTTTGTCTTTGTATCTTTCTGTCCTTCTGTCCTTTCGCCCGTTTTTGTCACTATCCTTCTGTCCTTCTATTCTTCGGCCTTTTCAATCTGTGTGGCATCCTAGCTTTCCGCCTTCCTGACTTTCTCTTCTTCTGTTTTTTCGTCCTTCTATCCTTTTAGCCTTTCAGCATTTGCTTTTTTCTGCCTTTCTGTTTTTCTTTCTGTCCATCCGTATTTATGCTCTTCTACGTATTTGCCCTTCTATCCTTCTGTCCTTCAGGCTTTCAACATTTCAGCCTTTCTAGATTTCTGACTTCCTGCTTTCCTGTCTTTCTTTTTTCTTTTTGTTCTTCTGTCTTTCTGTCCCTCTCTGCCCAGCCGCCTTCTATTCTTCTGTCATTGTATACATCTGTCCTTCTGTTCTTCAACCTTTCAGCCTTTCTGGCTTTCCATTTTTCTGTCTTGCTGCTTTTCTGTCTTTCTATCTTCCTATCTTCGTGCCTTCCTGTCTTCTTCTCTTCTTGTCTTTCTGTCTTTATCTCCTTACGCCTTTCATGTCCTTTTGTCCTTTGGTGGTTTTTTCCTTTTGTCCTTCTTACCTTCTATTCCTCTGTTTTTCACCATTTCAGCATTTCAACCTTTCTGGATTTCTTGTCGAACAAGATGGCGACGAGTGAAGAAGTGTTTTCGGATTCTCAAAGAAGTGAATCGGAAATAAAGTGCGATAAATGCAAACAAGTGCTAAGAAGCAAGTGTACACGTTGTGTAGTTTGTGGGCTAACTTATCACCCTAGTTGTGCTCGTGAAAAAAATAAAAAAAAGGAAGTGTTTAGTTTCTTTACCGAAACAGAAATGGAATGTCTTCATCACAATAAAACAGCGACTTCAGAGAGTACATCTGTCAAGATAGGAGATGAAGAAACTTCGATAACGGAAACAGTAATTAGTTTCCTAAAAAGCAACACCTTTTCTAGCATCTTACGCAAGGCAATAGAAGCAGCCACCGTCTCCCTGCGTGACGAAATTCGAAGTCTTAAACAAGAGCTTAACAATGTGAAGAGTTCCAATGTTGATATGATAAAAATGTTGACAGATTATCCCAAAAATAATTTGTTGAAGGTGCCCTCTTTCGATGTCGATGTGTTCTCCGATATATCTTCCGATGGCATAAACGATACAAACGAGTGGAAAAAAAAAGTACACTATAAAACATCACGCGATAAGAGTGTCCAAAACCGATCCGGCCAAAAAACTAATAAACAGCAGAAAATTCCGAAGGATAACAATAATAAATCCGTTTTAGACCCAAAGGTTATCCCGTTTATTCCATCTAATCCATCATTAAACGTAGCATCGTCGAACATGGAAAAAAATGAAAAAAATGAAGAAATATCTTCTCACAACGCCCTAAATGATGCCGAAGGTTTTCAAACTGTTGTCTCAAGAAAGAAAAAGCGTAACTTCATTCGAGGTAAAGCTTCTGCTACAAATGAAAATGATACGTTGATAAAGGCTGTGCCGCGAAATGGGTATATCTATGTCGGTAATTTACATCCAAACACGTCTGAAAACGATTTGAAGCTATTCTTAAAGTCTAAATTCTCTGATAAAGAAATTAGTGTTGACAAACTTCCTAAGAGGCCTACTGCCAAAAGCGTGTCATTCAAAATCACAGTGGAGAAAACAATTTTTAAGGATTTCTTCAAGGAGGAATTATGGCCGGAAGGAATTTTAGTGAAAAAATTTTACTTCTTAAAAAACGAAAAAGTGAATACGTCCCTAATGAATTAATAGAAAATTTCTGTTTCAAAGGGGCCAGTTTTCGAATTTTATTTTTAAACATACAGTGCATTAGAAACAAATTTAATATGCTTTTTTCAGAAGTGGAAATTCTAAAAATAAATTGTCTCTGCCTTTGTGAACATTGGTTGAACCATATCGAAATCGATAATATTCATGTGCCCGATTTCAACACGGCAGCATTTTTTGCGCGGTCTTCAAAGAAGCATGGAGGAGTCATGCAGCTGATGCACCAAAGTATCCCCTTCAAGATTCTGTCTGATAAGGTATCAGCACTTTCTGCTGAGGTGGATTGCGAATTATGCGGCGTACTTATCACTAAGTTAGATTTAATTTTAATAACGGTTTATCGCTCGCCAAAAGGCGATTTTCATAAATTTATTGATACTATAGTCATTCTTCTTAATGAAATTCGTTGCAAATCTAAATACGTCATAGTGGGTGGAGATTTTAACTTATTATTTGGCACTAATGATACAAAAGCCAATTATTTTTGTAATCTTTTGTCTAGCTACGGCTTATATTCTACTGTCAGATTTAAAACGCGTTATAACAACACACTTGATAATGTGTTTACTAATATTAATTCAGATATGATAAATATAACACCTGCTAAACTTTATCGGTCGGACCATACTGGAATATGTGTAAATGTTACTCTAAAGGAAGCTGTATTCGATAACTCATTTATCCCTAAATATGTAAGGCCCATCTCACAGTTTGGGAAAATCATGTTTTTTAATTTATTACAACAAGTTGATTGGAGTTTCATTGATCAAAATTGCGACTTTAATGCGTCTGATTTGTTCTCGATCTTTGTAGATACGCTACTATTGTATTATAATATCGCCTGTCCTGAGAAGAAACTATCGTGTAACAGATCCAAGGTCCATAATATAATTTGGTATACCCCTGATTTAAAAATCATGCGAGAAACTCTGCATCTAATATATAGTTCTTACAGATTATATGGGACTTTGGGTTTGAAAATAATGTATAATAACTTTAAGCGTAAATATGAAGAAGCTGTTAAAAAAGCTAAAATTGCAGCTAATAATGTCTTTATTAAAAACAATTCTAATAATTCTAAAGCTATGTGGTCATTAATAAACAGAAGTAGAAAACGTACTATTCATGAAACTACAAAAATTTCCTCTAACGAATTCAATTTACATTTCTCGAGCATTGCTAAAAATATTCTTAATTCCTTACCAAATACTAATCTTGATCCTGTTAAAATTATGATATCTGTTAATAACACGTCACATATGTTCTTTAAATTCAGGACAGTTAGTGAGGTACAAGTACGTGAGGCATTGAATAAATTAAAAAATAAGAGCAGTAAAGATATTTATGGGTTCAATGTCGACGTTATAAAATCAGTAAAGGATATACTAATTGCACCTTTGACCAAATTAATAAATAAATGTATTGTTGACTCGGTTTTTCCAGACTGCTTAAAATTGGCTTTAGTATGTCCAATATACAAAAAAGGTAATGTCAATGAAGTTGATAACTATCGACCAATCTCCCTTCTTCCAGTGTTGTCTAAAGTGTTCGAAAAATTAATGTTAGAACAAATCCTTGAATTCTTTATTAGTAATAACTTGTTTTGTACAAATCAGTTTGGATTTCGAAAAGGCTTATCCACTGAAAAAGCTGTTCTATCTTTTATTGATAATGTCGTTAAATCCTTTCAAGATGGTGAATATTTTGTGTCTGCCTTTCTAGATCTTAGTAAGGCATTTGACTGCATGTCTCATGAAATACTAATCCGTAAACTTTTTTTTTACAACTTTCAGCCAGATGCCACTAGATTAATTTCATCGTATCTTTTGAATCGATTGCAAGTAGTCTCTGTTGATGGTATAGTCTCCGATAAAGAACAAATCGCGTATGGTGTACCTCAGGGGTCCATCTTAGGGCCTCTACTTTTCTTAATTTATGTGAACGATCTGCCATACTTTTTCCCTGATTTTTTTACGATATTGTACGCGGACGATACTACTTTTAGTAAAAAGGCAATGTCATCTTCATTAGTAATAAGTACTCTTATGAATATATCGTCGCAAGCGGAACCTTGGTTTTTCGCCAACAAACTTTGCGTAAATAAGAACAAATCAGTTCAGATGGTATTTTCATTGAAGAAAGATAAGTCTTTTGCGGATACGAAAAGTACTAACAAGTTTCTCGGAATTGTTCTAGATACTAAATTACTTTGGCATGAACATGTGGATTATATTGTTCAGATCATTTCTAAAAATACTTATCTCTTAAGAAACTTATCAAATCATGTTGATCAAAATATATTAAAAATTGCATATTATGCGCTAATACAATCTCACTTAGTATATGGTATACTAATCTGGGGACACAGCGCCTCGTCACAAAACCTTTTTAGGCTTCAAAGAAGAGCTATTAGAATCCTTTCAGGTATTGGTTATCGTAATGATTGCAAATTTTCATTTCAATCCTTAAATATTTTGACATTGCCCTGCTTGTACATCTATCACTGTTTTAAATTTTTAGTAAACCAAATTAATCAATTTCCTACACTGAGTTCTTTCCATGACTATAATACCAGGTCCACAAATTTGTTAATCGAAAATTTGAGAATAAACCGTTGCAGAACTGCCAGGAACTATTTCTGTATAGTGTTCTTTAACAAATTACCTCAGAGTTTCCGCAACCTTCCACCATCTCAATTTCTAAAAAAAATCAAGGATGTCTTAACCGAAAATAGTTTTTATAGTTTCAATGAATATTTTCAATATAATTTTGAGTAATTTCTTGTTTATCATGTAGCTAGCTCATAATCTACATAAGTATTGTATTGCATGGTTTTTATGTTTATTTTTACTATTACATTCTTGTAAACTTTGGACGAGTGTATAAACTTTATGTTTTTAGCACAATAAAATTACTTACTTACTTACTTACTTACTTACTTACTTACTTGTTTTCTGCCTTCCTGTGTTTTTGTCTTTCTACCTCTCTCTCCTTTCATACTTCTGTCCTTCTGTCCATCTTTGTTACAATGCTTCTACCTTCTGTCCTTTTTGCCTTCCTGGCTTTCTGGTCTTCTGTCTTTCTATTCATCCGTTTTTTGATCCTTTGGCAGTTCGATTTTTACATCCTTCTGTCTTTTTGTTCTTCTGTCCTTCTGTCCTTCGGCCAGTCAGCATCTCAGCCTTGAAATATTTTCAGCCTTTCAAATTTTCTGGATTTCTAGCTTGCTGCCGTCCTGTCTTTCTCTCTTTCTCTCTTTGTTTTTCTCGCTTTCTCTCTTTCTCTTTCTGTCTTTCTGTCCTTTTATCCTTCTGTCCTCCTGTTCTTCTGTCTTTCTAATTTTATCTCTTTTCATTATTTTGCTTTCCTATCAAAAGTCTCTCATATTAATAATTTTTTTCTCGCAACTTGTTTTGTACCATATATTTAAATATGTAAAAATGTCCTTGATTTTATTTTTCTGCCTTTCTATATTTCCCTCTTTCTCTTTTTTTTAAACTGATTTTACCTTACATAAAAAATGTAAAAATTTCTTTGACTTTGCCTTTCTGCCATTCTGCCTTCCTGGTTTAAGGCTTTCAGGCTTTCAAGTTTTCCTTTCTAAATATGTTCCTGCATTTCTGCCTTTCTGCCTTTCGTTCTAAATTTCTGCTTCTGTCTTTCAGTTTTTGACTATTTTAATCTTTCAATCGTTCAGTTTTCAGTTTTTTGCCTTTCTTTTTTTCACTTTTTCAAACTTTCAACCTTTCTGCTTTTCTACCTTTCAGCTTTGCTGCTGTTCTGACTTCTTGCCTTCCTCCATTCAAGATTTCAGG